TTGTTAGCCAGCTAGGATAGTTTGTTAGTCCCTGTTGGAATCTCCATTCTAGAATCTTCGGTTGCTACTTTAACCTTGTATATAATGGTGTATTCATCCAACGATTAATCATTGAATAAAATATTATTTTATCTTGTTTTCTAACTAAGTGTAGCAAAATTGTAAGTTTTATTGGGGTTTGTACTATTAATTGTGCATGTAAAAGTACATGTATATATTAAAGAATTGTCAAATCATTTTTAAAATTATACAATATTGTAATTTTAAAAAGGTTTCAATGATAATTTCATCAATTTTTTTGATATATTGTCATTTATGTAAATGTTTTCAAAATTGGACAAATTTCAAAAGGGTGGGTATACTGCCACTACATTTTTTGCCCATTACACCACATTATAGATATATCCTGATTTAAGCATATTTTTGATAAACACGCTACAAGTATTTTATGAATATAAATCCTACTTAAATTAAGAAAGAAAGAAAGATATAGCGCACCACATTCATGCCATCTTTCATTTCTTTTGTCCCACCATTCTCCTCCACCCGTTGTCCTGGTGGATTGATTGCAAAATTGAGGGTGGTAGACAATTGTTTCTACTCGCTCCACTGCATCGACCAAATGCATTTTCATCCAAATTCCAAGCATCCTCTAAAATCTGCAATTGCCTACCAATTATCTCTTTCTCATCATGATACGCTAGAGGATAAAGAGTAGAGCAAACTTTAACTGACTTTTTCGATTTTGAAATGACTAAAATAGGGTGTAATACTGAATGCGAGTGTGCTTCTCCAACAACGTTTTCTAGAACGAATTTCTCTATGCTTGTCATAACTCCATCTTGGAAAGTGTCATCACCTAAGTCCATGCATATTGGTTTTACTTGCTGCCCTAGAAGAAAGCAAAAGCCGTCGTCGACCGAAAATCTATGCGCAATCAGTTGTTGAGAAAAAAAGAAAGAAAAAAATATGTTTATGTTTGTGGTAGAATAATAATTTATTTTATTAAAAAGTATATTAAAACCCTAATTATGTAATTTTTACTTGAGGTTATTTAAGTAAATAAGAAAAATAATTAAAATTGTGGTGCATTTATTAAAATTCGTAGTGGTAATATAATTACCCTTTCAAAAATCCATAGCGAAACGCAGTTGTACAATTTTGAATTTCCTCTTACTATGGGGATATAATTTGAAAAGATTAAAAAAATATTAAATTATTTTATGTATAAACACCATAATTCATTACCATATCATTATATAAAGAATAATATCATATATCACTAAATTTTTTTGTCTTTTATTCAAATTGGATCGGACAGAAAATTTGCAAGTTGCCAAGTTGTACGCAGGAATCGTAGACTAAAACGAGTTCATGCTGGAAAGAAAGATGAATGGGTAAGGTGAAATACAATTTATTGATTTAATATTTGTTTTTTTATTATTATGAACCTTTCAAGTAGTCAAAAATTAATTTTTTAATAAATTTTGGTAAAAGTTTATTAATCTTCTATTTGATTTAGAAAAAAATCAGATTTTTTATAGATTTTGATAAAAATTGATGTAATGTCTAATTAAAAAATTGTGAATTCCATAAAATATGTAATTAAAATTAAATATTGACTTAAATTTGACCTTTTTAGTGAAATTAAAAAATTTATAAAGTTTTGAATTTTATAAAATGTATAGATAAAATTAATTTTTTAATCTATATATAACAAGCGGGCTATATGTATTTTCTTGTGAATGCACCGCTTGGTAAATTCCTAACGACAAGAAAGTTGAGTCATCAATAAAAATTGCAGTTGACTTGGGCCAATTACAAGTGGCCACGAGGGAAGTGATTCACTGCAAACGCGTAGGCCGCGTTAAAGGGTCTAAAATATCTAATAGAAAGTACCGAAAGTGCCCCTTGATTTTTTGAGAAACTGCATTAAGATATTGGCCTTTGGCCTTTTAAATGGACGCGGAGTTGACTGTAATCCGAATCTCATCAATTTTTGGAATTAATCTAGATATATATATTCCTAGATGATAATAGTGAGTTGTCAAAATTTGTATCGTTAATTGTTTAAAATTTTATTAAAATTAATGTAAAAAAAATTGTCAATTCACAAAAATGTCAATCTATAATGTCAAAATCAATGTACATATAGCCCCTGTTTGGGCCACATTATTTTTTTCATTCACATTCTTCTACTCATTTTCAACCATACATTTTTCAATAAAATAATATTTTTCATCACATCAATAATTTTTCATTCTTTTTCAACCATACATTCCCCATCAATTTACTATTCCAAAATACATTCTTTCAAAATAATGTGGCTCAAACACACCCATAATAAGATTAGGGATGACAATTCGAACTGTGAAAATCGCGGTTAACCGAACCGAATGGGGCGAAAAAAACCGAACCGATGGTGCAATGGGGCGGTTATGGTTTTGATTTTAATGACCCGGTTCGGGGTGGGGAGGTTATGGTATTTAGCGATAGTGCCCACCCTGAACCGATTACCCGTTAAAAAAAATTAATTGGGCAATTGAGCTTTCCATTAGTCTTTCCCAAAATTAATTGGGCAATTTAGACAATTGCGCTTTCCTAAAATTCTGGTCCAATTAACATTACTAATAAACCCTTAACTCAGTAACCTAACTCTAACACTGCACATTAAAATTAAAAATTGGAAACCAAACTTACAAAACACTCGTCCACTAAACCAATGAACCAAATCAGATCCGTTGGTGCTTTGCTGCCTGTACCTTAGCTTCAAATTGTAGTAATCAGAAACGAAGTCTACCATCTTGTGAGCACACTNTGATATTAATGGTAGACTTTATTGTTTTATATTTGTTATTCATGCACTTTCTTTTATTACTAATTTTTTTCTCTAATGTGTGTAGAAAATTCTACTATTTCATCATACTCCGGAGCTTGTACAAGGTTTATCGGGGAGACATTGACGAAGAGGTACATTTTTTGTTCAAATCTTCAGTTAAGACCATTCTTGATTAGATAGTATGGTTGTATTATTACTCTAATTACATTTCTTATTTACTATATAAGAATCAACTTTGAGCCTGACTCTTGACCTATGCTAGTAAGAGTTATGGGGAAGAATGAAAAATGACCTATGCTAGTAAGAGTTTTAACCTATGTTGATAATATTGTTTATTAAATTAGAATTTTGCATTTGGAAGTTGGGATATTGTTTTCATTTTCATTTGAGATATTGTTTGTTAAATTAACTTAGTATTGTGTTTTTGTTTTTATTGACTTTTCTTCATAATTTTTCTTCCAATTTGACGGTTAGAGTTTGGACTTATAAAAAATAATTTATTTTCGTGGCTATTAACCGAACTGAACCGACATACGAATCGAACCGAACCGAACTAACTTACGTGGTTATGGTGCGGTTGTGGTATGATCAAAAATTAGGTCGTGCAGCTATGGTTTTGGCCGAACCGACTCCGAACCGAACCGTTGTCATCCCTAAATAAGATTGCAATTTTTAACATCACAAAACCATTTATTTAACGTTATTTCAAGAGACATTGATCATTTAAAATATTGCAATTAAATTTTTATTTTTAATTTAAGTTAAAATCAATGATTAATTTTAATTACATATTTTATGGGTTCCACAACATTCTAACTACACATTTCATCAACTTTTATCAAAATTTACTAAAAATCTGATTTTATTCTCTACCAAATAGGAACTTAATAATAAATTATGAAGATATATAGTATTCAAATGAAAAAAATAAAATAAAAGATGCTAAATTTTACTTGAATTGTAAAAGATATTAGTTTTTAGATCATAAACATGTAAATAGGAATTCTTATTAATAAGTTTGCACATGTTTATACTTCAATTATGTAAATATCATATTTAATTAATTAAAAACTTCATCATTTATGACCAATTTCTTCAACAATATAATTTTCACTAGCTTGAATATTAGAATCGCGTTTGCATAATTTCTTTTAAGTATTAATTAATTATTAAATAAAAAAAATTAAATTGCAACTAATGGTAGGAAATTAATCAATGACACTTTAGATATATCAACATCATTTTAGATAATATATAATTCAAATATATACACACACACACTTAAATCTAAAAATATGAAAGATTAATGATATTTTTAAGGCTAAATATATTCACACCACTTTTTAATTGCATGAAATGTTCATAACTTTTAGTCATCGTCACACTTATGTCCTTAACTTTTTTCATTGTATTCTTTTTTAAGTCCTTCATTAATTAGTACTCGTCATTGATAATGATTTCTATCAAAAATTTTGTTAAGAGGGAATAAAAAGATTTATTTAGCCCTCGTGTATTTAATAAAAAAAAAATCAAAATTATACTTGCCCATCGTTTCAAAGCACAGTAACAAAATTTTTGGATAAAAATTGTCATTAAGGAAGAATTTCTAATTGATGAAAAATTAATGATTAGAATGTGATGAAAATAATTAAGACCATAAATAATAAATATAACAACGAATAAAGATTATCTGTCAATAATAAAATTAAAATGTTATAATTACCCTATTTATAAAATATCAGGGTGTCTCTGATATTATCAAAAAACGTAACGAATGTTTCATAATTTCTTAATTCATTAATAAACTTCAAAAATTTGTAGGATACAAGTACTAGAACTATTGATCAACATTTTATATCAACTAATCTGCTTATTTTCAAAATTATAACTTAAAATTTGCTTTTGTCGTTTGATTTTATTTTTATTTACTGGAAACTAATTAATCATTTAACGGCATCTTGAAATATAAGATATGGTCATCTAAAGGTTTGAAATTTATTATTTATTTATTTTTTCCAAGAACCAGAAAAGGAGAACGCGTACAGACGGGGGCATAATTGGAAATTCAACGGAATCCCCAATCCAATATTAAGCAGGGGTTCCGCGGACATAACAACAAGCACTCAGAATTTCGTCAAACGCCGAGATATATAAAACAAAAATGTCAGGCTATCCCCCTCATCAACCACCATCCGGCTACCCGTACGGTGCGCCACCTCCTTCTCAGTCATATTCCTCCGCTCCATACGGTGCGCAACCGCCAGGTCCACCACAGACCGGTCAATCCTCTGCCTATTCGGCAGTCTCCACCCCTTACTCAGCCCCTTCAGCTCCCCCATACAACAATCCCTCCGACCCCCACAAGCCACCGAAAGATAATTCTTATTCTCAGCCCTCTGCCCCCTATGGTGCGCCTGCACCACAATCTTACGGTGGGTACCCTCCGCCACCCTCTGCGCCGTACGGAAGCCCCTTTGCTGCTCTTGTCCCCTCTGCTTTCCCTCCCGGCACCGACCCCAACGTGATAGCGGGCTTCCAGATGGCTGACCAGGATGGCAGTGGGTTTATTGACGATAAGGAGCTCCAGAGGGCGCTTTCGTCGTACAATCAGAGCTTTAGCTTGAGGACTGTCCATCTTCTCATGTACCTTTTCACCAACACCAACACCAGAAAGATCGGTATGCACGTTCTCTCTCTCTCTCTCTCTCTCCCCCCACATTTTTATGTTCTAACGGAAAATTCTGACCCGAGCAAGTTTCCCTTCCAAAAGATTGACCGATGTTTACGAGGTTGTAAAACGCCTCATGAAATGATTAGAATTTGAAATCATAAAACCCTAATCTGTAAAGCAATAACTGAATTCGCGTGCTGTATTGAAGATCGTGAAAATCATTTTAAGTTATTTCTAAACATTTAAATCAAAAACAGATGCGACTAATAGTTTTAGGGATGGGGACAATTAGAATCTGTTCTGTATGAAATTGGGGGTACAAGCATGAACATACTATACAATAGTGCAGCTGTGGCGGTTTTTTTTTGGTTGTTGGAATTTGTCATTTTGTGCATGAAAAGTGGAGTTGTGGTTGAAGTGTTAGAGCACAGGGCCGACTCGAATTTCAGCAAATCCCTGCAGTGGCACGAGGTTTCTCGTATCTGCCAACCAACAACATGTACTTGCACTTCTGGGTATTGAAAACAGCAGAATTTAGACTAAGTATTCAAAATATTGAAGTACTTAAAATAGAAACAGGATTTACGAGAAACATCAAACTTTATTTCTATAAAGTAAAGAAACACAAGTACCAAAACGTGAAGAGTCAACAAATCTCTTTGTTGCCTCAACAGTGCATCTATTTTTCTACATATTCTAAGGCACCAACACTTAGAATATATACCCATCCCGGACCCAACTGCTGGGTCAGTTTTCACAGATTTTCAACCGCACTTGGGATGAAACTGCCCCAACACTCTAGCACAATGCATAATCGCCTCAAACCACCATCACATGTCCTGCTTATATAAAAGAGCATCTTATCCATAATATTCAGAAACCAATTTCAAATTTAGAGGAGTTTTTACACACTCCAAACATGCCCTTTATTTTGGCTCTTCATTTGTTTTTTCATTAAATATTTATTAGTTTTTCCTCATCTTTTATTTAATATTTTTTAACTAATCAATTCAAATATGATTTGAATAATTTAAGAAGTGAGTATTAAAATTCTTATTAAATGCATTCATTATAATTTGGAGAGCTCAACCCACTTCCTATTTTAACGAAGTTAAAATATAAGTCTTGGAGCTTTATTTTAAGCATTGGCTCTTAAAAGGGAGGGCATCTTGTATTTAGATAGTCTCTTGGTGATGCTTTTAAAGGTAATCTTTTAGGATTGGAAGATGCCATTGATTACTTTATCTCCTCATTTTCCTTTGGTTAAACCTTGGAATGTACTTTTATTAAAGAATTTGATAATTTTTTGGATCAATATTTTTTTTTTATAACCGTGAATGTCCGGGCCAACTTGTGCGCACCTCGACTAATCTCAAGGGCCTGAAGTTTACGGTCGGGTACTTACCTCAATGGCCTGAGAGAATTTTGTGGATCAATATTTTACGTTAAATAATTGAGCTTTATACAAAATCATCAACTTAGGAATGGAATTTATGCATGCATACAATACTATTTGCAAAAAATGGGATTCAGGAAATTAGGAGGACCAATATAAAACATAGCTCTAAGTAGGAAGTCGGACTTTGTTGAGAAACTAAGGATCCATTATGACAGTTTTCGTGTTTCAGTTGTGTATATAGCTGCCTGCGTTCTACCCAATAACTTGTAGATCAATCTGTGTATGGATGTTCATCTTAAGAGCGATGTTTCCACATGCTATTTAGTCCATTCCCAACTAAAGAAGATGCACTGGAATTGGTAATCCATGCATCAGAAGGAAGATGTCATATCATTTAATTGTGACAGTTGCCCTGACACTTCAATGGAGTAGCCTTGAATTAGAAAATTAAAGACTCGGCAAGGGCAAGAAGTAATACTTATGTGATTGTCAAGATTCTAGATGCCTTTAGGGCTTTTAAGATGTGGTAATAGAAAAAGGTTATTCTTCTTTAGCATAGTATATGGGCATTTTCCTTCTTTTTGTTCTTTTGATTTTGGTTGAAGTGTAGATAATCACGCGAACAACAAGAAGAAACTAAGCCTTGTGCTCAATAATCTCATAAGCAAGTTGAAGAAAATGTAACTCAGTATTTGATTTGTAATGTTGATTTCGAGATGGAAGTTGCCTTGTTGATTGCTTGGTGTTAACAAGTAGTGCCATTATAGTTCGAACTACGTACGGTTGCTGGATTGTGGAAGAGATAATGGGATAGTTTTCTTTTTGATCTGTTAGTTTATTTGGATTTGTGCTCTCTTTATGTGACTTTTTCTTCTTGTGGTGTTGATTTGTTATATTTTTATACAGGCCCAAAGGAATACACACAAGTTCATTATAGTCTTCAGAACTGGAGGGTAAACTCCAAAATCTTTTACTTTTAACCTTTTCAGATTAGTAGTTCTAGTTTTATTCAGATACCAATAGATAAATAGTTTTCCTATATATCCAATCTGATTAATTTCTCATTTTTGTAGGCAATTTTTGAGAGATTTGACAGGGACAGGAGTGGGAAAATTGATTCGGCAGAACTAAGAGAAGCTCTTCTCAACCTTGGATTTTCAGTATCACCTATGGTTTTGGATTTGCTGGTTTCCAAGTTTGATAAAAGCGGTGGGAAAAACAAGGCTATTGAATACGACAATTTCATCGAGTATGTTTACCTGTGTCTCTTATGCTACATTCCATGTTATGCGGCTGCAAGTATATCAGAAAATTTTACTAATTTTCTTTCATTGTGTTCTTTCCCTTTCTACTGCCAGGTGCTGCCTCACTGTTAAGGGACTGACTGAAAAATTTAAGGAGAAGGACACTGCTTACTCTGGCTCAGCAACTTTCACTTACGAATCCTTTATGTTAACCGTTTTGCCTTTCCTCATTGCGTAGAGTTGTGGTTCTCTATTTATTCCTCGACTATCCTGTTTGTTTTGCTGTATTTGGCCACCTTTGCGACTTTAACGACCTGTTTTTAGCATTTGCCAATGGGGATCGACTTTGTGCAAGACCATGATGCTATATATATTGTTATTGGTGCCGCCAGATTCCACATGTGGCTTGTGCTAATTTCTTGTAATTTCGATTTTAATATTATGATATAATTTCTGCTAAGAGTTTCAATTACTCTCATTGCATACTTCGATTCTTTTCGTTTCTTGTTTTGCTCTTGTAGACTTGTTCATCTTTTCCTAAGTATAGTACGTTTTTCAAGGACCTAAAGCAATTCATTTACAAGAGTTGTGGGAGGAAAACATTTGATTGAATTTGAACCTAAAAACATGTTCCACAATGCCAACATACATTAAACGTGAAGTGCGTATACAAGAATAATCCTATTAGTGACATTGTGTTTTCGGTACCCAATTTAAAGCAAGATATTTAGTCCATATTTAGTAGAAAGTAAAACTTAGATTTTAATCTAAATTAATATCAACAATTAATTTTAATCACATATCTTATATGATCAATAACTTTACAACCACACATTTTAGTAATTTTTATCAAAATTTATTAAAAATATAATTTTAATTCTCATCTCTAGGCCAATTAAATGAATTTTAAAAAATTGAATAGGCAAAGGGCAGGCATTAAATATACACGAGAATTTAAAGAAATTCAAGTGAAAACAAATTAAGTTAATGTTTGACTCTCGTCAAAACAAAACTTTATTTTTTATTCTCATTTTCAACCAGACATTCATACAATAAAACATTTACACTTAAATCCAAAGTTTTTCCCTACCATATATTCTCCAAAAAATCAATATTCAAAGCATCATTTTTTTCCTTATTCAAAGCATCACTTAAATCGAGAAGAAATTAATATTGATTAATTTTGAAATTTTGTTTGTTCTTTATAATAAAGATGACCACTAAAATTATTCCCCGAAGACGCAAAAACTTGCCTTAATGCAGGATCGAACTACAGAACTAGATTTCACCTAGATTTTTGCAAATTGCAAGTTTACTTGTTTGCAGAATTTTGTGCAGCTTTTCATTCGTTGTGGAAACCTAATCTAATGGTTTCATGATCTGAAATTTACTTGAAATGCAGTGGTTATGAGTTCAAGTTGATAACTGAAGTTTCCAGATGGCGGAGAGGACAGCAGATGTGGTGGAAATGTTGAAGGGAGTCAGCAGCTCCTATAATTACCTTCTGCAGAATCCAAATGCAGTTCATGAATTGAGGGTTGACAAGCAGCATAATCTTCATCTAATATGAATGCTTTCGATTATCCTCTTTTCTTCAAAACAAATAGGAGTGTATTGGAATTTTTTCTGTTATGTGCTCATGGGTTAACTAACCGATCCTCGTCTTCTAATACCCTTGATCAAGAGTCACTACAAAGTTAATGTATAAAGGCTCTAGTCCTTTCTGATGATCTCATTCCATTCGATTTTCTCCTTCCTAAAGGACTATGATCAATAATGGTATTTCCATCAATTTTCCTTGGTGGTGAGTATAATTGCCTTAATTGAATATGCCCAAACCATCTCAAATGTGAGGAATCATCGATATACATCAAGTAGGCGATTGTAAATGAGTGGTAGTCTGCATCAAGGTAGATTGCACTTGCTTCATCTTCTTTTTCGGTTCCGTGAATGACTTGTGTAGTCTGGTTTAATATGTAATTGTCTATCTAGTAATGACCTAAACACTTGCGTTGTTTTGAAAAAAAAAATACTAATTAGGCATATAACTATATAGTATCAAGAAAGTGCAGTCCGCATATTGAACTCGTCTTATTTGAATGAAAAAGAAAAAAATATATTTCAAAAGAGAATCACGAATTCAAAATAACCAAAAAGGTTCACCACAGCCCCAAGTTATAATATATCAAGTTCAACTGCCACGTATTATAAAAAAAATTTAAAAATCACTTAAATTTGTGAACAATGCAAGAAAGTAAAACGTTCGAATGGTAAAGAATGAACGTTTTTATTCATCAATTTATACCACTACCTAACTTGAACTTTTTGATTCATAGAAAGTTGCAATGATTAAAATGTACTAATCTTTGATATGCAATAATCTAATGTGAGCTGAAAGATGAAAAAGTAGGACCCTGACTTGATTTCTTAGGGTTAAGAGCATGAAGTTTTAGACTAATTAATACCAAATTAGGGTTTTTAGATTTTATATTTTTTTACCCAACTTATAAATTGTATATAAAAAAGATAAAATTAATTGATTCCACCCAGGGACCCACGGTTCTAATTCATGAACAAATAATCGAACTGAATCCAGTCGGTTATCAGTTCTCGATTCTCGATCCTAATTTATTTTTTGGGAACCGGAGGTTCCGGTTCGATTTCGATTAAAATGCCCAGACCTATGTTATAAGGACCTCAAAACTTGAGGCCAAGTTTGATTCATGGAAAGGAAAAACGAAACATTCTTGTGCTATTCGAGACTTTCCTTTGCCTTTCATTCTCAATTCGCGGTTTTCATTTGCCTCCATTGCTTTTTGCATTCTATTTGGTTTTCATGCATTGAGGAAATTTTCTCATTTTCGTCTCATGTACGAACAACTTATTAACCAATCAAAAGCCCTTCCTGGGTGCACCTATGTCCTATAATATATTCATGATTAGACTATTTTCGAAATAAAAAATGCTCGGACGAACAATTAATGAAACATCAAAGATAAAATTAAAAATTACCAACAATTTGATTTTGGTTGAACATAGAAGGCTAAGAAAATGAAAAAATTATTATTTGGCCTCAATTCTTGTAAAATTAAAAGTTACTAAATAATTATTATTTTATTTAAACAAAGTCAAACATTAATTTCAATTATACATTTACAATTATATTCATTTATTAACCGCAAATCTTGTGGGATTAAATATTATTCTTTCTAAAAAGTTACTAATAGTTTTATTTGAATACTCACAGGTGCGAAAGTACAAAATTGATAAAGTTGAAGAGAGTAACAATTCAAGTATACAATTGAGAAGTCTGGTATAAATTTAATTATACATCACAAAAATAGATTGAAAAGAAAATAAGAATTTATATGTTCAGAAATAGAGTTGAAGATAACTATTTAGGTAGTTCAAGCAATTTTGAGTACATTAATGTAGTTCATTCCTAAAAGCGGCGCTCTTCAGTGAGAATGTATGATAATTCATTTCATTTGAACATGTTGAGTATTTCTAACTATTTATTATATATAATTGTATGTGGGTTGGATCGATTATCCAGTGGTTTGAAGCATTAAACCATGACCAAATCAAACCGCTGTGGTTTTGTTCAAAATATAACCAAACCAAACCAATTAACTATGTCAAACCGACCCAAACCGACCCGAGTCGGTTCGGTTTCATCGGTTTGGTCGGTTTTTCGGTTTTTTTGCCCACCCCTACTTATAAGGACCTCAAAACTTGAGGCCAAGTTTGATTCATGGAAAGGAAAAACGAAACATTCTTGTGCTATTCCTTTGCCTTTCATTCTCAATTCGCGGTTTTCATTTGCCTGCATTGCTTTTTGCATTCTATTTGGTTTTCATGCATTTAGGGAAATTTTCTCATTTTCGTCTCATGTACGAACAACTTATTAACCACTCAAAAGCCCTTCCTGGGTGCACCTATAATATATTCATGATTAGACTATTTTCGAAATAAAAAATGCTCGGACGAACAATTAATGAAACATCAAAGAAAATTAAAAATTACCAACAGTTTGATTTTGGTTGAACATAGAAGGCTAAGAAAATGAAAAAATTATTATTTGGCCTCAATTCTTGTAAAATTAAAAGTTATTAAATAATTATTATTTTATTTAAACAAAGTCAAATATTAATTTCAATTATACATTTACAATTATATTCATTTATTAACCGCAAATTTTGTGGGATTCAATATTATTCTTTCTAAAAAGTTACTAATAGTTTTATTTGAATACTCACAGGTACGAAGTACAAAATTGATAAAGTTGAAGAGAGTAACAAATCAAGTATAAAATTGAGAAGTCTGGTATAAATTTAATTATACATCACAAAAATAGATTGAAAAGAAAATAAGAATTTATATGTTCAGAAATAGAGTTGAAGATAACTATTTAGGTAGTTCAAGCAATTTTGAGTACATTAATGAAGTTCTCATTCCTAAAGCGGTGCTCTTCAATGAGAATGTATGATAATTCGTTTCATTTGAACATGTTGAGTATTTCTAACTATTTATTATATATAAGATGTTCTTAAAAATAAAGAGAGGATTGAACATGTTCTTAGTTGATAGACTAATGGATCAAATACAATCACTAAAAAATTCAGCTACAGTGCTTGTAATACAAGCAATGATCAAATCCACTCTTTTTGAAACCAATAGAAAGCACATAAGAATCAATTTTTGGTACCACTAACGTGGAGACTGTTTTAGCTCATAAAGAGACTTCTTTAAAAAACACACGCGATCAGGTTTATCTTTATTTTCAAAACTTTTAAACTGATTCATAAAAATCTTTTCATCAAGATCACCATGCAAAAAAGCAGTTCCCAGTTATAGTTAGCAACAAAAGCAAGTATGACCTTAATAGAGTATACTTAATAACTGGAGAAAATATCTCATTATAATCTACCATTTCCTTATGTGTGTATTTTTTGGCTACTAATCTAGTCTTATATCTCGCTGGCTCACTCTTAGTAGTTCTCTACTTTATTTTATAGACCCACTGGCAGTGCACTATGGACTTATCCTTAGGTCTTGGAACTAAATCCCAAGTTTGATTCTTATTAAGAGAACTCATCTCTTCTCTCATGACACTATGCCATTCCTTACTTTTTTTCATTCTTCATAGCCTCCTCATAGGTATTTGACTCATTATCAACTAGTTATTGATAACTAGTGTAGGCCAGGGTATAATCAAACAACCTTTGGGGTTCCCAA